CCCCCAAGACAACACCAACTTAAAAATGAAACATCTCGGGTTTAATCAGATCGCCACAAACCACAATTTTGAACCTGCATGCTACAAAATTTTGACTGGAAGTTGAGTAGCAATTGACAAGAGCAATGCATAGTTCAAATGTACAGCTCCCTGATGCTTTGGGAGATTATAATGCCTTTTCCTCTTCTTCTTAAATAAGCATTTTACCAGCCAGGTGAAAAGATACGTGTTGCTTCCATTAAAAAAAAGTCACGCTGTATATGAATTATTAGATATTCACTGTCTTTATCAAGCTGAACAAAGCATAACAGCTAAAACCATATCCTACACCTCGCAGACTACTTTAAATTATAGTCTTCCTAGTAAAATCAAGTAGTTCATACAAACACTAATTTGCACTTCACTACATATGTGCTGTTTTGAGTTTAGTTTGCCAATGAAACATACCTGAACTTAGTTGGCTTTCTGCTGAAAGAGATAAGTACCTACAAATTACTCAATTCCACTCTGAAAACTTACAATCAGAGAAGGATAAGAAGCGTGTGAATGAAGACCTCAAAATGTTTTTACACTATCTGCAGCAATTGGATGGATGAATACAATGGGAAAGGCATTACAACAGAAGTGCAATAACAGAAGGACCAACACAATAGAAAGGCGGCTATAAGGAAGGGAAAGAAGAGTGCTCATCCGTATCAGAAGATTCCAGGTTTGCAGAAGAAAGCTTCACCAAAGAGGGATCTCTAGAAAGAGATCCTTCCCCAGTGGCAGTAAGCCCTTAAATGAGGTTTGAGAGGTGCAGCCAGGCTCCACCCCTTCTGGTAGCACACATGAATTGCCTTCACCTGTGCTCCCAAGGCTGACCAGCTTCAATCAGCAGTTCAGGCCATGACTCAACAGTTCTCATATGCTATCCAAGAGACCATCTGCAGTTATATATGCAGTTTATGACCAACCATACAGGCATGCTTAAATGTGCATTAAATCCATTATATTGTATGCAAGTCATCCAGAACTATTCACTAAATGCAGTGTTAGTATTTATGTATTTATTATAGCAAACATCAAAAAATATGACAAAATATATTCTTGTTATCATATCAGTGGGGAAGAATATTTGCTTCATATCATTAAATATTGCGGCCTCTTCACTAACACCGAGTACAATGATAACCAAGGATGAGGATTTGCAATTTTGCGATTTAAAAAAAAACAAAAACACTTGTACAAACAGGCTTCAAGTTCATAACTTAATTAACATTTCAGAATAATTCAGACACAAAGTAACAGGCAGATTACTACTTAAGTTTGCTACGGTACGATAAGCCTTAAATAAGCATGCTACGTTCCTAATAATTTTTTTCCATTCTGAAATTTTAAAACACATCTTACCTCCAGGAATTCTCAAGAACACTTTAGTTAAAGTGTCTCCAGTTATTATGTTGTAACTAATCATAGCTTAAAGAAAATTTTAAAAATGGTTAGTACAAATCAAATATAGATTATTTGATAAACCATTAAATAGACGTATTGTGTGGACTTCAGGCTGGCATGCCACAATCCCCCTTGTACGAATTCCAGTTAACACCAACTTTTAAGATTAAGGCTTAGGACAAAACAAAAACAAAAACAAAACAAAACAAAAAAGCTAACAATTGCCTTTCTTTATTTCAAGCAGGTACAACCTAGAAAGAATCTAATCTGATAAGCAAGGCCACTGTGCTATTACCATATATACTTAATACAGATGGGAGATAAAAAAAGGCTTTAAAATTGCTTTCTTCATTTCCAACTTCAATTCTTTGTCAGTTGATATTTAAGCTTCTGTTTCAATTTAGTAATGTTTTTGTATTAACATAATAAATCAGTCCTGCAATAAAATGAACAGGGTTTCCTAGTTCATATCAGGAGTTTGTGAAACATTTCAGCCCGAAGAAATGATGAAGATAAAAAATATGGATTTCCATTACTTTTTCTCATGAATAAGAACTGTGATTGTAATGTATTCTGCACAGAAAGTATGTGTGCATACACACATGCACATAAACTAATGTGGATAATGACCTTAACTAACACATAAACATTCACTGCTGTGAAATGATAAGTTATTAACACTATATATGTAAATAAATTCAAGCATGTTTTGTAACTAGTTTCATGGTGAGGACTGAGGTCTTTACAATTATTTCCCATATTCTCTGTGATGTAGTAATTACACTCTTAAGTCAACCATAATGGATCAGGATTTGCAGACGTAATTCACTATTTCAGTTTAAGGGATGAACCTTGATAAAATAATTAACAGGTACCTGCAACACTGCTGCCTGCAGTAACTCCAACCTGACTCCCTTAACTATCTCAGCTACCTAAAATGACTTCAGAATAATTATTCCTAAAGGACAAATTTTGCTCTGGGACTCCTCAGTCACCAAATTCAGTCTCTTATTATCTCATATCATTATCACCACCTCATGCAGTCCTATGTGTGCTGCACTGTTTTTCTGGAAGCCTGCTCTTTGCTATTCTCATAGCTACTTCTGTTGTTGATTTTTAAGTGTGAGAATTTTTGTGTTATCACACTTCAACTCATTTTTATTATTCTGGTTCTCAAATTCAGTGAATTCTTCCTCAGTCATTCTTCAGCATTCTACAATTATTTATATATTAAGAAAATAGGTGCATATAGTATACTTTTTAGAGTTCTTGAAATTTATCAAGTAAAAGAATAAGATAATGTGAAAAAACCTTACTATTTATAAAGCTCAGATATCCGTATTTTATGTCATCTTACCAATAAATGGATATAAAAACTGAAGAGTTGAAAGAATTAGATAACCTAAAAAACCATATGTTTTTCTGACCAGCTCTTGATAGGTGTTGGTACTAGAGAGATTTCCTCCTTTGATCAGTAATATAATGGAATAATCTGTTAAAATATAAAATTATTGTTAAATACTAGCAATTAATTAATAAAATGCTAGAAACTAGAATTTAGTTAATACTCTTTTTCACTCTTTAAAAAAACAGGTCTGTAAAAATGAAAAACAGCAGCATTAGAAGACTGGGGAGGAGAATGGTAAGGGAAGTCACAATAAGAAAACAGAAATCTCATCATTTTTTTAGGTAACCAACATGGATAAAAAACCAAATATGTAAGATTCAATGAACAAGGGAAAAGATTACTAACTAGATGAAACATTTCATTATATTCAGGTAGAGTAAAACACGACCAGTGCCTGTGTCAAATGATTTATCTTGAAAACCAGAGACTGAGCCACTCTTGTATGAAGAAGTGCTTTGACAGAGAGCTAATGTCATAGGTGGAATGCTCCAAGACAGAACCTCATCCTTTTATGAAGAACAGTATGGAATGTGCTGTTCTTGCATGCTATGCTTTAGTATTTGAGTACCATGTAATTTTTCAGTCCGGATTACTTAAACCACAGAATTTACTACATTGGACAGATGTCTTGACAGACAGGGCTAGACCTCGTTTATTCTTTCTCTGGTTTTCACTTAGCTTGTAATTCAGTATCAGTGCTTGTAATATCAGTATCAGTGCTTACTATCTTCTGTAAAGGTGACTTCTTTTTGAAGGTAAATCCATGATTATTTTTTTTAAAGGATCACAATCAAAATATTCAAAATCATAGTTACTCTGGAAGATTTTAGTTCTGCAGTACACTTGAGTGATATACAACCCACTCAATGATCATTGTCTAAATTAGAATAAAAACAGTAGACTAAAATAGGTAATTATAACACACAAATGAGATCTATTCTTCCAAATGTCATCTTGACCTAGTCTAAGAAATTAGGCTTCACCAAATAAAAGGTACACAAAAAGCAGCTTTATATGTTGTACAGAGTAATTCTCTACTTTTACTAATAGGCTCAGGGGATTAGTGAGGTGAAAATAATTCCCCATTTTTACTAAGTCATAAACACAACTGTTTAAGCTAACATGTTCAAAATCATCTAAACTTTGCAAAAAAAAAAATTCACTTTATAACACAAACTGCTTTTACAATACCTGTGATATAGGCAACCCCAAACAGAAGCAGTACTCCTAAAGGAAAACCAGCTTCTTTCATTGAATAGGGAAGTCCTGTAAAAAAAAAAAAAAAAAAAAAAAAAAAAAAAAAAAAAAA